CATTTCAAAGACAAGAACAATGAAGTACATGCTGAAATGTGATCACAAAGCCCAACTCGTAACTGCTATTTCAAAACCCCCAAAACAGTGGCCTACACTGTGCTTTTTTTTTTTTGGTTGCTATTTCTAAATTAACTGCCAAGATTAAGACTATTTATATGCTCTTGAAAGGAATCCAGACAGATTACATACTATATGATACCATTGTTATAAAGTTCAAATACAGACGAAATTAGTCTACAGTGTTAAAGTTCGAGAGTGATGAGAAGGAGACTGCAGGAGGTTGCCGGGGGTGGGGATGTGACTGTGCTACGCTGCTATTCCTGACCTGTGTATTGGTTAAACGGGTGTGATCACCGCGAAAATTTATCAGACTCTACACTTAAATGATCTGTATACATTTTTGCGTGCCTGCTATACTTTTATAAATAAAAATATTTTTTAAAATTCTCTACATGTTCTCTAGGGCCTCACCATTCACTAGTTATCTTACAGCCACCCACCTCACTCCCTAATATTATCTGCCCAGTCCTTATGAACTGTTGGGCCTCCTAACTCTGTATTATGGTAAAGTACCTTTAGTCCACAGCAATTTTACAATACATAATTAATACTATTATACAATGTATTATTGGGACAAACTATCATAATCGTTAGATTTCACCATCCTAACATACACTGACATTCTAACTGGATGGTAACAATAACACCTAACCAACTACAAAGTAAGACCTGCTTTAAGAAAACTGAGAGAACCTACTGTATAGCACAAGGAACTCTACTCAATGCTCTGTGGTGACCTAAATGGGAAGGAAATCCAAAAAAAGAGGGGATATATGTATACCTATAGCTGATTCACTTTGCTGTACAGTAGAAACTAACACAACATTGTAAAGCAACTATACTCCAATAAAAATTTTTAAAAACCCAAAACTGAATATATGGTAAACATATCTACAAAAGTGGTACACTCATGAGTTCAAGATAAAAATCACTCATTGCTGAGTTTCACAGGAAAGAAAATGCATACCCTTTTAAATTTGGCATTTACCCATCAGTGATAACAAAACTAGCACTGTTTATGACCACTTAAGTGTATCCGGGTATATTTAAGAAGTAATAGTTTGGAGATACCAGTTACAAAAATATGTTACCACAGTATATAATGCACATATATAATTTCATTCTCTAAACGATATGGTTAGTCTATATGTTATTATTCCCACTTTACAGGTAGGGAAATGAATATCAGAGTGTGAACTGAACTGACTTCCATCAAAGGATTTTGCAGGCAAAGCTTATTCAAGGCAACATTTACTGAAAAATGTCAGGCTCCATGCAATACAGAGGTGAACTTGCATGTCCCTTCTGCTTAGGCTGGGAAGAACAGGACAGCACTTCACAACCCAAAGAGTACATTCAACACTGGGACCTTAAACAAGTCATTTAATCTCCTTCTGACTCAACTTCCTCATCTGTAAAATGGAGATGATTTTAAACATTATTTTGAGGACTGCAGAAGTCAGTAAGTGCTCCAATAAGTCCCTTACACAGACCAAATTTGATGTAAGTGACAACTATTTTAATTGCTTAAAAAAATACTGGAGAAGGGTGCCATTCAATGGGTGAAAGACAGTTTTTTCAACAAATGGTGCTGGGAAAACTGGATATCCACATGCAAAAAAAAGAAGTTGGACCTTTACTTAACACCATATATAAAAATTAACTCAAAATAGATCGAAGACCTAACTTAAGAGTAAAAACTATAAAATTCTTTGATGAAAACATAGGGAGGAATCTCCATGACACTGGATTTGTCAATGATTTCCGGAATATGACACCAAAAGCACAAGAAACAACAAAAGAAAAAACCATAGATAAATTGGACTTCAGCAAAATTTTTAAACTTTAGTGCATCAAAGGACACCATCAAGAAACTGAAAAGGCAACCAATGGGAGAAAATATTTGCAAATGATATATCGGAAAAAGGATTAAGACCCAAAATATATAAAGAACTCCTACAACTCCACAACAAAAAAACAAACAATCCAATTCAAAATGGGCAAAGGACTTGAACAGACATTTCTCCAAAGGCAAATGACCAACGAGCACGAGAAAAAATGCTCAAAATTACCAGTCATCAAGGAAATGCAAATCAAAACCACCAGATACCACTTCACACTCATCTAGGATGGCCACTAAAATATAAAAGAAGTTGGTATGTAGAGAAATGGGAACTCTCCTGCACTGCTGGTGGAAAGGCAAACTTGTGCAGCCACCGTGGGCAAATAGTTTGCTGGTTTCTCAAAAAGTTATATACAGGGCTTCCCTGGTGACCCAGTGGTTGTGAGTCCGCCTGCTGATGCAGGGGACACGGGTTCGTGCCCCGGTCCGGGAAGATCCCACATGCCGCGGAGCGGCTGGGCCTGTGAGCCCTGCGTGTCCGGAGCCTGTGCTCCGCAACGGGAGAGGCCACAACAGTGAGAGGCCCACATACCGCAAAAAAAAAAAAAAAAAAAAAAAAAAAAAAGTTATATACAGAATTACCATATAATCTAGCAATTCCACTCACAGACATATACCCAAAAGAACTGAAAGCAGGGACTCACAGAGATCCTTGCACACCAATGTTCAGAGCAGTATTATTTACAATAGTCAAAAGATGGAAACAACCCAAATGTCTATCAAAAATATGCGGTATATACATACAACAGAATGTTGTATGTATATATACATATACATACGTATATGTACATATACATATACAACAGGATATTACTCAGCTTTAAAAAGGAAGGAAAATCTGACACATGCTAGAACATGGATGAATCTTAAAAACATTATGCTAAAATAAGCCATAAACAAAAGGACAAATATTATATAATTCCACTTAAATGAGTTATCAATAGGCAAATTCATGGAGACAGAAACTAGAAGAGAGGTTACCAGGGGCTGGGGGCAGTGGAGAGAAGGTATGGGAATTACTGTTTAATGTGTGCACAGTTTCTGTTTGAGATAATGAAAAGATTCTAGGATACGGATGGGGTAATGACAGTACAACATTGTGAATGTACTAGAACTTCCCCGGCAGTCCAGCGGTTACGACTCCACGCTTCCAATACAAGGGGCACGGGTTCGATCCCTGGTTGGGGAACTAAGAACCCACATGCCACGCAGCATGGCCAAAAAGATTAAAAAATGTGTGTGTGTGTGTGTGTATAGTGATTGTACTTAATAACACTGAACTGTATATTTTAAAATGGCACATTTATGTTACATGTATTTCACTACAATTAAAAAAACAACCGAAATAATGGAGAGCCACTGAAGATTCTTAAACAGAAAAATGACAATCTGTATAGTGTTTTAGTAAAAATAATAGGATGGACAAAGCACGGCAGGTGAGAATAAGGAATAAGGCTTCAAGTAGGGATGGAAAGGAAATGGAGAAACAGGTGGTTGAGAAAACTATGTTCTTGGCCTAAAGTGGGATGACAGTAACTTTTCTCACTTCATATAAATCATGTATTACTCTTCATCTCTCCCCCTGCTATGGTTAAGGGGAAAAGAGAGTATATCATTGAGGCACAAAAGTATAAACACTCCCACTAACTACAATTAGAAAAGTGAACTAAAAATGAGGTTCGTTGTTAAAATCATCTCTTCCTTTTTCCAACTTCCACCTAGGACTTAACAAATGTATATAGGTATTCCCTCATATTAAGAATGGTCATTATAAAATCAACAAAACTGGGAAGACGAACCTTAAAATCTAATGTAAGCCCCCCTTTCCAATTCTGTATGAGAGAGATTGGTCCCAAGGTAAGTCCTAACTTGTTTTCATCTCTACCTACATCCCTCCATCCCCTAAACCTAATCTAATCCTAATGCCACCATCTGTATATTCAACATTTATAGAATCACGTTTGATAGGTTTGAATCACTTTTTGCTCTAAGACTCAAAACACTGCCTTATGTCTGTACAGTTACCTGGACAACAAAATGTGTTGCATAAACAGTGGTATTTGTAGTAGACTTCTCCAAGTTAGTGTCAAGGTAGATCAAGAGGAGACTTCTAATCCTTCTCACTGGACACTGACATACACAAGGGGAGGTAAGCAAATACACAAGCTCGCTGAAATCTTGGTTCTGAATGCCTATTTCCAGCACGTCACTCTCATACAGGGACCCAACATGGAAGATCCGCCAGCTCTGCGACCTATGAATTATGTTGAGATTTACCAAAGCCAGATAACATCTTTCAAGTGCCCTGTCCTCTTAAATCATCAAGTCAAAAATGGAGTCTACTTGGTCAAAGCCAGATATCTGGACACCTGTCTACGTGTACTGTATATGTATACCTACTATAATTTCCGTGATCAGATGCAACTTACAAAAGGTGGCCTAACTTACAAACTTACAAATCAAAGAAGTAACAGAAACGTTAAGAAAATTAAAGAGCATCCTGACCCAACATTAACTTAATTTAAAAAGCATTAGCTTTAGGTCTAAGCACTCCGCGGATTAGTTGGGTAGCTGTATCTTCCTACAGTTTTCCACATATGCAGGTGGTGAAGAGAATCAAACCGTTTAGGTAAATTAAATTTTGCAAGTTTCTAAGATGCAAGTGACAGCTGCATCCCGGGAAAGAAGGGGACAGGCGCAAGCAGGGGCGGCTGCGCGAGACTCCCACAGACAAGAAGGGAAAGGGCCGGGTCACCCCCAAGAGCAGACCCCTTCCGAGGACTCAGAAACAGCGGGCGGGGATCTCGCGGGCTGGGGAATGCGGTCGGCCAGGCCTCCGAGCCTGCCAGAGACGCCCCGGTGCACAAACGGGGGTTCACACCCAGGAACTGAGGCCTAACCGGGCAGCGGCCTTGGGCTGCGGCCAGCGCCGGACATTCCGCAGCAGAACACGACCACAAGGCAGGCGGGATCGGGAAACAGAGAAAGAAAAGCATAGACAGCCGGGACTCACAGGGCTGGGGCCCGGACTCACCCTCGCATGGTGAACTTGACTACGGCGAGTCTGGAGCCCGCGCCGCTCAGCTCCGGCTGGAAATCCGGGTCACTCCCAACCGGCTTCACACCCACCATTCTCAGAAGTCCGGCAGGGCGGCCGCGAAGCCACCGGCTTCAAAACTGAAGAAGACCCGGGAGAGGAAGGAGGGAGGCTCAGGAAGGCCGAAGCCTGGGCAGAAGAGGTAGCGACCGCGGAGTCTTCTCCCGGGGCTCTCAATGCCGAGTCACGCCAGTGAGCGGAGCGGCCGTGGGGGCGGGGATGGGAGCGGGGGTAAAAGGCAGAGTCGAGGAAAAGGAAGGCGTGAGGCACCCGGCAGCCACCGCGCAGCAGGGCCGCCGGCGCTTGCGCACCTTGACGTCATTTCCGCGCCGTCCGTTTGCTCCCACTGTCCAATCCTAAAGCGCAACTCGTGGCCCCACCCTCGACTGAGGAGCTCCCTCATTGGCTGGAGCGAAGCAGGCGTAGAAGAGGAGCGGGCACAGACACAGGCACAGGCGCAGGCGCAGGCGCAGATTGCACTTAAGTGCGTGTATTCCTCCGCGGTTCGGAGACCAGGGTGTTTCACCGAGGAGCTTCCCTGTGGGAAAGTGAGAAAAGAACCGTTTTTTCTCCGTGGTTCTTGGCTGTTGCCTAAGGTATTAAGTTCCCTCCTGGAAATACTTTGAGTACAGTCCGGTCTCATATTCGGGACAAGTCGCCACACTAGACAAAGTAGACTTTAGGAACATTAATTTAGGGATCTCATTACACTTGGGCGCTCTCTGGGTAGTCATGCGGCAAATACTAATGTTATTCACCTTTCACTTGTGCCTAAAAACATGAAAGCACCGTCTCCTTTAGGAACTCACAGGCTGGTGATAGACGCAAACAATAGTTACAGTAACAAAGAAGTTTGCAAAGGAAACGGTGGAAACAAATGAGATAAGATGGGGCAGGATAAATTTGCTAGGCGATGTGACCCCTGAATCGAATCTTGATAAGGAAGAAAGAAGGGCATAGCCAGATGGTAAGAGATGATAGGGTACTCCAGGCCGAGAAAGCAGCAATGCAAATGCAATGCATGGGTTGAGAGGGATGGGGATGATGATGATGATGATAATAACAGTTAACAAATTATGTGCCAGGCAACATGCAAGCTCTTTATGTGTATTAGCTCATTTAATCCTCACAACAGCCCTAATTTTCCAAAGTTCACACACCTAATGCAAAGTCAAGCTGGTGTTCAAGTTAAGGCGATCTAACACCATAGTGTTCATTTAAATATTAGGCTAGGAGACAAATCAAATGATTTACCTTTGCTTTTAGCTGGGGTGATGAAATTGAAGAGGAAGGTGAAGGTCAGATGATAACTAGGAAAGGAATTTGTATTTTAACATGAAGACAATGGAGTGGTCACTGCAGGACAATTTTGTGGTTACAAGTGTCTTTAGAAAAAGCAGGGGAGGACTTCCCTGGTGGCGCAGTGGTTGAGAGTCCGCCTGCCGATGCAGGGGACACGGGTTCGTGCCCCGGTCCGGGAAGATCTCACATGCCGCGGAGCGGCTGTGCCCGTGAGCCATGGCCGCTGAGGCTGCATGTCCGGAGCCTGTGCTCCGCAGCGGGAGAGGCCACAACAGTGAGAGGCCCGCGTACCAAAAAAAAAAAAAAAAAGCACGGGAGGTAGCAGTGAGGACGAAAAGCAGTGGAACTCCACTTTAGGAGTTTACTGTGGTATTCCAGGAACTGACTTACAGGAGCAGCTGCAGTCAAATGATATACTTGAGAAACAATTAGAAGATAAAAACCACAGGGTTGAGTGAGCAGTCAGACCAATTTGGTGAGATGACAAAGGAAGGAGTCTAGGATAATGCAAATATTTCAGTCTTCTGGCTCTTTTTACTGATATGAGATGCCAGAAGGACATCCAGGTGAGGTGTACGTTAGGTAGTAGGAAGGATGAGTCTGAAAGTAAAGAAAGGAGTAGGCTAAAGCTGCAGAGTTGAGAGTCATCAGTGTGGGTGGTAATTGAAGCCCCAGAAATGTGAAAAGAGAAGCCTAAGTGTGCTGCAGAAACATAATTATTCCTAACTGAACACAGCCAGAGCCTTAGTAACTCTGTTCCTTTCTCATGTGATACCAGAACAGTGTAATGGCTTTAGACTCAAAGAGACAAAAGGTTCAATAATAAATCTCTGCTACTTATTATTTTGTGGCCGTGGACAAGCCACTAACCTCTTTGAACTTCACTTTCTTGTCCATGAGAATTGGATTAGTAATACCTACTTTCTAGCATTGTGAAGGTTAAAAGTAATAGTAGATGAGGTACATAAAGAACTAGAATATAAGGTGCTCAATAAAAGATATTTATAAATAGTGGTGTTTTAGGGCTGCCATAACAAAATGCCACAGATGGGGTGACTTTAACAGAAATTTGTTTTGCAGCTCTGAAGACTGGAAATCCAAGAACAAGGTGTCAGCAGGGTTGGTTTCTCCTAAGGCCTCTCTTCTTGGCTTGTAGATAACCACCTTCTCACTGTGTCCTCATGCACACACACAAGCATGTACACTCCTGATGTCCCTCTTCTTATAAGGACACCAGGTCTATTGGATTGGGGCCCACCCTCATGACCTCATTTAACCTTATTACCTCCTTAAAGGTCTTGTCTCCAAAAATGAAGGCTGGGAGTAAGAATCACTCCCGCCTGTTAGTAGAACTCCTAGCCTACTGAGGCTGTCCTTGGAGAAACACACTGCTGTAAGAGATCCTCACACAATCTGGAGATGCAGGCCAGCTGACAGTTGTTGTCCCTATTCTACTGATGACAAGACTGACTTTCAGAGAAGTATGTAACTATTCCATTATACAATTATGCACTGCTTAGCCCTGTCAAGGTTATGCTCAACATTGTACAGAAACAGACTTTATATATGTAAATGGAAACATTTAGCAGATGTTATTACAAGGTGATGCTCTTAGGGGTGACTTTTTTCTCATCAATATTTTCTAAATTTCTTCACTAATTATAAATAGTATATGTAATAATAAAAAAGGAAGAAGGGCACATCTAGAAAAAAAATCCTACACGAGAATTCTACAAAGGTCCAAGTTTCTTCCTTGCCCTATTAGTAATAACTAAAACAAAAATAATATTCACAGTTAATCGGTCTCCCTGTGTCATTTAACTAATGCTTAATTTCATTAAGTAAAAAAAGATTTTAGTGGATGGAATTTTCCCAAAAGATGTTACTATTTTTCTTCTAAATTTGTGTATGCCACCCTGAAAATCTGGAATTACCATGAAAAACAAAAACAAAAAACCCAAATTACAGACCCTAAAACCTCTGCAAGAGTGACTTGTGATTATCCTTATCTCTCCATTCCCGAGATTAACATATTCAGAAATGTCAAATATGCTGCACATAAACTCCTCCTACCCCTTCCCTGACTTGGCCATGGCATACACCACTATTAGAGGCTACGGTTTCCCAGAGTCTCTGCCTCGGAATTGCGTTTGGCCCCATTACCAGAGTCAGCCGTCAAGATAAAAACTATTTGCCATCCCACTCCTTATTATGACTGTCATACCCTGAAATTAGTAGTTCTCAAACTGCAGTGAATTCATTAAAATGTGGGTTCCCAGTTTCACAGCCAGAGATTCTGATTCAGTAGAGCTGGAGCATGGCCCAGGAATCTAAATTTTAACAAGCACCCAGGGTAGCTGATGCAAGGGGTCCATATTTTGTGAAACATTATTTGATGATGACTTGTCTACTATTTTATTACATTTACCATTCACTTAATATGTACAAGGTACTGTGATGATGCTTTTTTTAAACATATTTATTGGAGTATAATTGCTTTCCAATGGTGTGTGAGAATGCTTTGAAACACCACTCCTCCAGGGACATCACAAGGGAGACAAGACATTTCTACAAAAGCTAAAAAGGTAGTAAGTGCCATAGCAGAAATATAGATAATATATCATAGTAGTTCAGAAAAAGTAGAGAAAATTTTCAGCTGGAATGAGTATATAATGCTTTACGAAGGAAGGTGTTCTACTAGTCAGACCTAGAACAACACAGGAAGGAAATGCATGAGCATCTTCACTTCACAGAAATGACTCCTGACTTTCCTCTTAACTCATCAATAATATAATTTGCTTCCGACTCACTTGTTCTTACCAAGTTCTGCCAGTCAGTAGAGAAAGTCTTTCTGTCATGACTTGTAGCTGCCATGGGTTCACTTTAACTGATTTTACAAATACATACGTTAAAGATATGTCATACGTGGCTTTATCTCTCCCATAGTCCTTTGCACATAGTAGATACAAAATAAGTATTGGTCAAATGAATGAATGATTAGAAAGCATAATGAGTATGAAACTCAGTCCACAAAAATCAGGTGTACAAAAAATATTACTTTGTGTTGTGTAACTCAGTTTCATTTTGATTCTTAATTCCTGCTCTCTCACCACATCCAACTAGAACAAAAACAACATTCTCTACTCCTCTGCCTACATCAGAAATTGTACCAAATTTCTGGGTTTCGGTTGGGAGTGGGGCTTTGGAGTGCAGCTCTCTAAAATCACTGTCTCTGTCTGCTTACTCTCTTCAGGTCGAGCCCTACCTGCGTCATGTGAACACTTCAGCGAGCGGGACATTTGGCTGAGGCGGCCTATGGACCCAACTACCTGAATACACCACGGTTAGGGTGAGGGTTAGGGAACAGGTACGGTTTAGGGTACAGGTTAGGGTACGACAACGGTTAGGGTTAGGAAACGTGTTAGGGTGCGGGTTAGTGTTAGGTTATGGCTTAGTGTTAGTGTACGGGTTAGCGTAAGGCTTACGGTACGGGTTAGTGATAGGGTTCGAGGTTAGGGTTAGGGAATGGGTACGGTTTAGGGTACAGGTTAGGGTATGACAACTGGTTAGGGTTAGGGTATGTGTTAGGGTACATGTTAGTGTTAGGGTACGGGTTAGGATTAGGGTATGGGTTGGGGTAAGGCTTAGGGTTAGGGAATGGGTACGGTGTAGGGTACAGGTTAGGGTTTGACAACGGGTTAGGGTTAAGGTACATGTTAGTGTTATAGTAGGGGTTAGGATTAGGGTACGGGTTGGAGTAAGGGTTAGGGTTAGGGAACGGTTATGGTGTAGGGTACATGTTAGGGTATGATAACGGGTTAGGGTTACGGTACGTGTTAGGGTATGGGTTAGTGTTAGTGTATGGGTTAGGATTAGGGTACGGGTTAGGGTAAGGCTTAGGGTAAGGTTTAGGGTTAGGGTTAGGGTTAGGGAACGGTTATGGTGTAGGGTACATGTTAGGGTATGATAACGGGTTAG